CAACAGACATAGAAGAAAGTATTTTGAAGACAAACATATGAATGCAAATTTGTGCTGTTGTCTGTTAAGGCACATTGAGTTATTGCGAGAGGAAGTGTATTCTACTCACATTCCACCGAAGATTGATAATTTATGTAAGAGGAAAGTCGGTCTGTAAGTCAGTCATGTAGTCAGTTGATTATTCACTTACTTAGCTGGTATTGTATAGATTGTCTGTCTGTCTGTCGTTATTCCTCATGCACACTTTACTTCTAAAATTTGCAGTTTAGTATAAATTATGATGAGTAATAATAATGAATGTATTCTTCTCATTGACTTTTCGTTTGAGGTCACAAAGATGTAAGCATAATTAAGATGCGTTTCTGCTCTTTTACATCAAGAAGATGTACAAGAAAACGATTTCGGCCATTACTTGAAAGTTAGAGTTATTGAATGACAACAAATTCATAGTCATCTCATAATCCATGAGTGAAAAAATCACAAGTTACGAAAAAACTGTACTGCACTGTTAAGAGTTGAAATCTGCGAATTAGTCATATGAGTTATATCTTTTCTAGCATTGATCTAATTGTGCTCTCATTTGAATGTTTGAGAAAATATTGCAGATCTCTGCATTTTTCGTAAATTTTAAAATCTTTTAATATTTTGTAACAAACAAGATTGTTTACCATACAGTAAAAGGGAATCTCCATTATTATTGCTTAGTGCGTACGGATTATAACTGGCAGTTTGTTGAACAAGTCTTAATTTGTTTTCGCATTAATTTCAGCCTTCTTTGTGAACTTTACATGAAATAGCTTTTGAATTGAGCAGCACTGTAGTACGGCACGATACCAGTAAATGCAGCCAAGCGAACAGTGTGCATAGCATCACATAGCAGCGAATTGCAATGTCGTTAGGTTGCAGCATAAGTGTGATGGTCCTCCTCTTACTGCCACTTTTGTTACTACTATAAGCAGACGTTATTTTATTAGAACTCCGTTGTCTAGTGCCTGTAGCTGCTGCTTTCCTATGTTGCAGTGTATCCATCATCTTTTCGTAGGGTTGATTAGTTGGCTTTACATGGCCTAATGTATCTAAGCCACTTCCAACTCTTTTATCTTACACACCACACTGTGTTTTGTTATTTAGAATTTTTAATTTGAAATGCTGCAAAACATCAAGTAAATGTGCAGACCAACTTTTATCCTGTGTAACATATGTATGTTTCTAATGAGTTGATCTCACATACCAAGAATTGCTGCTGCGTGAGAATACAAAGTTGCGTGAGTATTCTACATGTGCAGTGAAAGTTGATGTGTTTCTGGGTGTCCAGCAATGCACTTACTTTACTTTTCTTTTCCTATTGAAAGTAAGCTAAATCTTCAAGAGCATGCGAAGTACACACCCCTACTGAGTGAAACATTGAAAAAGTGATGTGGGTTACCACCAGAGCATGTGCTCTTCCCCTTCTCTCCTACTGCTGCTGTTGCTGCTGCATCGTCGGCACACACGCACGCCCGCTCCCACACGCACGCACTCACATGCGCATACACATACACTTATATACAGACATATGCACAACTTATACAGATGGATGGCATGGAATGTGCAGTAGCAGTAGCAGTGTTGCTATTGGTAGTATATAGCTTGTACATGGGCATATGCAACACAGAGATGTTAGGTAGCTTCCAAGTGCCAGCATAGTTCGGTATGACTGCCATAATATGATATCTATTTGTTATCATCGTTATTGTTTATAATAATATTTTCCTCGTCTATAATCCTTTCCTCAGTCAGTTAGATTGTTTTTACGGAAGTCCATATTACCATCATACCATACCCATATTTGCTCTGTATTAAGCACTTAGTGATTATAGGATAGTTGATAAGTTCATTAGTCAACAAATCAATATTCTAATCAACAGGTCATTCGTCCGTCCATCCATAAATCCATTCATTGATCCCCCACGTACTCACAAAAGTGACTGACGTAGAGAGAAATATCAGTAAGGATATTTCCTGTGCACCTTGCAAAGCTAGCGATGATTCATTACAGCAGAGAAGTTGAGCTGTCCAAGGCCGAATTAGTATTATGTTGTGATTACTACCATGGCACATCTCTCTACCTTTGTGTATTGATTGAGTAGTTTGTTGGTTTGTGTTTTGTTATCGATTAATTCGGCGATTCTTGGAACATGTACTATATATGTTAGAGATAGATACTCATTTGTTCCACTGTGGAATGCTCACTTTTTCTTCTCTTATATTCATTCTTTCATTCATTACACCAGTCTGGTTTTGTTTTACTGTCATGTAAACATAACAGATCACACGTGAAGTTTTCAGGGGTGATCAGGTAGATAAAACTTCAATGTGAGGTTTCAGGGGAATATTCTTGTAAATGTAAGAGATACTACCCAAATGGAGAAAACAGTGGTCGTGGGATTGTTTGCAGCGCTATGAACAGCGAAGCAAGTATAACAAGTGACATAATAAAATCTGAAGATTCTAGTACCTCTGAGGGGTCATTGAGGTTCAATCTGGAAAAGCGTGCATTCAATTCCGGTGTACAAGCAAACAGAACTTTGCCTTCAGAAAAGGTAATCCCCTGTGATTTATGCTTGTGTTACGCTATTATTCTCTTTCTCTTAAATGACTTCTATCAGATTTATTCATTTTCACAGTTATGATCTTACTTTCTATATAGTTGATGTCATATTGTTATTTGCGTGAGCTAAATCCACCATTCTTTTTATTAACTCTTCATCAATTAATGAAAATCGTAGTTGTTGAAAGAAGTATCTGCTAAATTGGTGAAAGCAGCAAAGACTGACCTGTCCACTATATCAGTGGTTTCTGAGGAACATTGCAAGAAATTTTCAAGACAGGTTTGTTTTTATTTTATACATTTTAAACATTGTTTGAATTGTTTCTGACTTAACACTCACTGTGATACTGTCTAATTTATTAAGAAGATTTTCTTTGCGTTTTTCAGTTTTACTTGTATCAAATTTGTGTTGTCTATAGAATAGCATAATACATCAACTTCAGATGGAATTAGGTGAAATTGTTCGTACTCAAATAGCGTCTCAGCTAGTACCTACTTCGGTTACTATTACTACTCCGAATATGCCATTACCAATGGTTAGCGAACTGTCAAATGTTAGTAGCGCGGGTTCAGTTTCTGATCGTGAGCCAGAAACTCCTGAAAAGGGTAATTACGCCAAGATGGCGAGATCATTAGAGAAAAAGACATCACGAAAAAGGAGAAGAAATGATGATTACCAACCTAAAAATGACCGAAAGATTACTGAATGTTTCAAGGTAATTACCTTTGAATATTTTTTTGTCACCAGAAGAAATTGGTTGGTTGCCGTATTTTTAGTAGATCATGTAGGAAAATGATACGAGACTTGTGAAAGCGGCTCTTGTTATCAGACATAAAAGAATTTAATTTCATAGAACATGGCAGTTGGCTCTAGCCCAAAGCGTCAAATAAATATTACTCAGGTTAATGGCGACAGCATCAGCAATGACTATGTATGTTTTTTTTTGCTAAGAAATTATTCGTGAACAAAATCATGTTTGTAATAAAGTTTGAATTTGATTTTCTTGAAAAATTTTCATTTTTGATTTTCTCAGAAGATCATGTTATAACTGCTGTTAAAGACGATGTAGCTAGAGATTAAGATAGAAGTAAAGGTGCTGTCATTTTGTTTCGTGGGAAGAAGTCCTATCATCTATCGCTTACCGTAATTTTTTCCTTAATGTAGTGATATAGTATACATTTTTAGCAAGAAGTGCTCAGTTCATGCATTTGTCATCAGTATTTTGACATTTATGTAATAATAAAATCATCAGTGGTATTTCCATTTTGTACTCTGTTGCATATTAAGCTCTAATGTATTCATCTCAAAATTTATGAGCGCTTACGACAAAATATTGGTTGTCATCAAAAAATGCTTTGCTTACATTTTTTTTTTTTGAAATTTTTACTGCTGAAATGATTACAGCTCTTCTATATCTATTTTAATTTGTACTTATCATCGTTTTATTGTTATTATTTTTTATGAAGTCATATTAAGACATAATCAGTATCATTCGAAATCGGCAACATAAGCCTTCTCGTATTTTTTGCAAATCTTTCAGTGTGCAGTCATAACATCCATTCCGTCAACAGCAAACACCTGGTCGAATTACAACTCGGGCTTTTTTAATTCTAGTGATTCAAGCCAAAGCCAAAGTCCACCACAGTCATTACCATGCAAACCTCGAATAGATTCACAAGTTGTTTCTCGAAATTAGTTCATTTAATTTTTAAACATTTTTGGAATTTTTTTAACGAAGTGTATTTCAGGCACAAACAGATGAATTGGCTTTAATAGATGCAGTCGAGATGCGTTCTGAGCTCTTGAAGAAGGATACTGTGATTGAGGAGATGAGAAAAACAATTGAGGATTTAAAGCAGCAGATTGTTAAAAAAGATAGGTGTATGGAAGCTTGTAAAGAAACTATCAGGAAATTACTGATTGAGCAAAGCACAATGGAAAGAAAACACGTCAGCTTTGTCATTAATATTGTAGATGCGAAATCTTTTGAAGTGACTCAGTAAACGCGTTAATTACATTATGTTGTCTGTTTTTACGTTAGCATTATCAAATTAAGTAGTCGTCAACCATCATGTTAGTAAAAATTGCCCTTTTGCGGCGTGCTGCTTATTTTTATATTGCAATTGATATTTTGAAAATAGCCGAAATCCAGGTGTTTGATGATTAAATTTGTCTTTTAGGCAAAATCAAAATGCATGGAGGATTGTTTACGGATTGGACAGTTTAAGCCAACGCGTCATAGAGAAGAATTTCGTGAGGTATGGTCTGATGGCTGGGCTTTTGAAGAAATCAATAAGGCGCAACAAAGGATCGCAAATGAAAGAAATGAAATTATAAATGCGTCACAAAATTTGCGAAAAAGAAAACCGACAGGAAATGTCCGAGATTTGAGGAGGTATGAAAAATTCAATGCCTTTTCTTTTAATATTGCTTAAAGCAATGTTTTTACTTAAGCAGAACTGTTTTCTCAAGAAAAATCGGCTTTTTATTCTAGAATAAAAACAGTGGTTTTAAAAATATCTTTCTATAATTTGAAAAATTACCACCCACATTTCAGTTTGTATGAGATCCTTGACAAGTGTAGTACTGAAAACATAAAATAGAAAACGAACAGTTTTTTAATTTTAGAAATGATGAGTTTTGGTGACGAATATTTTTTAAGAGCATTGTCGTCTTCTTCTGATGGACTGGTTCCTTCAACATCTGCTGGACCGAGTTCTTTCACGGATGATTCTTTCGCGAAACCGGAATTACCTAAAGAATTGACTTTGCAGGAATATCTTGAACAAGAAGAAATTTATCGTTTACGTAAGGTGAATCATTGTTATTTATCTAATATATCAGTGGTAGGATATTGTCTTATAATTGCAATTTGTTTAGCTGACAGTACTTCTAATTTCTTCGTGAAAAATTTAGCTTCGATAGTCGTGATGAATGTATTGATTTGTCATACTTAAAACCGTAATTAGTGGCGTACTCAGCCTCTCATGAAGCTGCGATTTTTAAGATCAGAAAGTGGTATATTTTCCACTTTATGCTACTAAGTGCTTAATATAGCAAAATAACCTCAATGGTTTTTGAGTGCTTTGAAACAATGCATACTTTCTATTGGTTTAAGGAACATCTTAAAAAAGAAGAAGCCGAACTTATTGGCGAACGGGATCGTTTGGAAAGAGAGCGCAATCTGCATATTCGAGAATTAAAACGATGTACGTATGAAGAGTTAAGTCGGTACAAAGACCATGAATTGCTCAATAAACGTTATCTTCTACTTTCGCTTTTGGGTAAAGGTGGTTTCAGGTGTGTTCTTTTTTTTCCCCGAATTAATTTGTATAGTAACTATTTAACAGTGTTGTTTATTTCTATGAAGAATTTAAAGCAATTTTTTAATTAAAGAATTATTGCTTTAGCCGAAATCCAAAATTTGCGACATATTTGAAGTGTTTTTAAGTTTTTTACTTTTTTCATTTGTTTAGCGAAGTTTGGCGAGCCTTTGATCTTGATGAGAATAAATATGTGGCTTGCAAAATACATCATGTAAATAAGGAATGGAAAGAGGATAAAAAGGTATTGCTTTAAGCAGCTTCAATAATATTAATACACATTTTCTAGAGTTTGGTTTGGTTATATTATATATTTATATAATATTACCAAAGACTAATATCCGTTATCTATAAAAGGTGTTGATTCGAACTTATAATTTTCTTGTGATTCTTACTCGAATAATTACAGATTTTTTGATTCTGTTGTGTTTTGTGTAATCTGCTTCCTGGTATTCATGTGAATAGAATGAGTTTAGGCCAATTATGTAAAACATGCTATGCGGGAGAAGGATATCCACAAGACGCTGGATCATCCACGTATTGTTCGATTGTTTGATTTGTTCACAATCGATAATCATTCATTCTGTACCGTACTAGAATACTGTGATGGTAATGATCTCGACTTTTATTTGAAGCAAAATAAGCAGATTCCTGAAAAGGAGGCACGCTCTATTATTATGCAGGTTTGTAGGTTCTATTGACTTCATATATACTATTTTACAGTAAGCAAAATAAGAAGTTTGTGTCATTTCATTTCAACACTTTTTTATTATTCTGCAGTTTTATTCTAGATAGCATTTATAATATTTGAAGAACCTATGACACAAACTACAAAATTACTATTTTTCTTTCAATTGGTCAAAACTATGTTGTGAAGCTAGTATTGAATTCGAAAACACTGTCTTTTCAGGTAGTGTCAGCTCTTCGTTATTTAGCAGAAAAGCGCCCACCTATAATCCATTACGATTTGAAACCGGCCAATATTCTATTACAGTCAGGTACCACTAGTGGAGCAATAAAAATCACAGATTTTGGTTTAAGTAAAATAATGGAAGATGCAGATGATGGGGATTCTATTGAACTTACATCTCAAGGAGCTGGAACATATTGGTTTTTTTTTTGTTTTGTCTTTTATTGTTTATTAGTTGTTTGAATTAATCCAGTTCATTGGTTGGTTCTCAAGGCCCATGATGAGACAAATTATTTACTAAAGATGAACTTTCACTTAATAATTATGTTTGGTATTCTTCGAAATTAAATTTTTTCTCTTGATATCGTTCACTGTTTCATCAAGTATTTTCTGTGAGTTGAGCTTCATGATTTTGTTGCAATTTTGCTTATGGATTGCAGGTATCTTCCTCCTGAGACTTTTGTTGTTGGGCATAATCCTCCAAAGATAAGTTCGAAAGTCGATGTCTGGAGCGTTGGAGTCATTTTTTATCAATGTCTATATGGACGACGAGTAAGTTTATCTCTTTTCTCTGCTTTTGTTTTTGATCGAAAAAATTTCAATGAAGTTTTGAGTTTGCAGCCTTTTGGCCACGAGCAGACGCAACAAAAAATTTTGGAGGAAAATACGATCTTAAAAGCTACGGAAGTCACTTTTCCTCCAAAACCAGTAGTTAGCTCTGCTGCCCAGGTGAACGTCAACTTTTAGTTATGAAGTGTCAAGATCCTAAGTTTCCGAAATTTTAGTAAAAATATGCTTCGTTTGTTGTTATTATTATAAAGAATGCGTTAGGATCCTGTAAATATTTTTGCTGAGATCTGTGCTCTAAATAATTTATGATTTAATATACCTGAAATCTTGCAACATGTTCATTCGTTCTGCTAATAAGATACGAAATTTTAAATGTCTTTTATTATTTGTGCCATTTGAAATTATCGGAACAGAATTAGGAACATGAAGAGATGCGTAATCTCATTTTAGGATTTTATTCGTCGATGCTTGCAATACCGAAAAGAAGAACGAGCAGATGTTTTTGAGCTTGCAAAACATGAACTATTTCGTCCACGTGGCCAAGTAAAGCGTTTTTCAGTATTGACTGAAAAGATTTTTACAAAATTGTTGCAGATACTCTATTAATTCTATTTAGTTTGAAATCTCGATTTTAATCCCAAGTTTCTGTTTCACTATATTCTGTCTCAGTGTACTATGTAACTATTCTCAGTTATCGTATTTCTTGGGAAGTTATAATGTTTGTTTCAGAAATCAGCACAACCACCATCTTCGCCTTCGTCGAGATGTCCCAAAAATGATGAAACTGACTTTTAATTAATATTATATGGTTCTAAACATTAAATTATTTTTCAGAAATTAAGCTCCATCTTTGTATTGTTTCGTGAGTTTTCATGCTGGGTATTGCTTATATATCATCAATTTAATGTTGCTGTTTACATCTACTTTACGGTTAGTATTTATAGCTGTACATTTCTTATGTGCAGTGTGCTTCCTATCCTGTTCTTTCTAATTGTTTGTTATTTTACATTGCTGGTTCACCCATTCCCGCATTTTGGAATATTCTTATTTTTCATGTTTACATGGAACGAAGTTTTCAGTACTTGCCTACATATTTGTGACCTTCTGTGCTATGTTCACTAGTCTAATTGGTTGCTGTTTTGACAAATTTAGATTGTGTAGATTGATAGTATTTTATGCCATGAGATGCTATGCTCAAATTGTCACAAGTTTTCCAATCATTCAGTTTCATTTATTGATATCAGGAGAATAGAATAGAAAACTGATGACTTATAGTTGTTTATCGAAACTCCTGGATCAAAAAATTATGTAGTATCGTTTCTACTATTTCTGCTCTACAATACAACACTTATTATAGCAACTTATTAGTTTAGAGGCTGCAGATTTTACTGTGGTTATACCCAATTGTAAAATTGTGTTCACAATACTGTTGTACGTTTTTTGTTAGTACTTTTTATAAAATATTGTTTGACTGAAAAGTTAAAAATAAACCATTGTTCTTACTCAAGAAACCCGCGGAATGTAACAATATCGAATGATTGTGAGCTTTCTTCTGAATTGCCTTCGTTCGGTACTTCCCTAGGATAAGAAATGGTAGTCGATTTCAGTTATACTGAGTATATAATTTTTGCTCAGCTATGAAAGGAACTATGCTGTAGCCTTAGATGTGAGTTAGATTAGGGAAATTTGTATAAAATAGAAAATTTGGTAGGGCTACCTAGTGTCTTTAAATGTGTGCAGTTGATATGGCGAAATGTTTTGCGTAGGAGATTGTGGTAGTGGCGACGAGTCGCTTCTGGTTGTAGATGACGCAGTAGAATTTGAAGTTCCTAATTAGCAGATGTTTTGTTATGTGAAGAATTAAGATAGCTCCCCTCCCCACATATATGTGGCCTGTGCAAATTAACTATTAGAATATAAATGAGGATAGTGGACTTGCCAATAGCAACAGCAGTGGCATCGAAAGTACCCGGGATACTTCGCATTGTGGCAGGGATATCTTTGGTAAGAAGACTACAAAAATTGATAGATCTATCAAGATGAAGTGCAATTTCTATGGAGATAAAAACTAACTGCCCAGTTTATTTGATGACGACCCATGTGTTGGATTAGTTTGTATACATTATAATCAGAGAAATTACTTCGCAAAGATTTGAATGTGAAAATTTGACATAACCACTGATGTATGGCACATACAAAGTCACTTGAGTCTAGGCAAGATGCTTCCACACATGCCTGTATTCCCCTTTTTGTACTAATGGTGATGAAAATGTATTGTTCAGAAATAAAATAAGCAAACCTCTGCTGGCGAATTTTCACAGGCTTTTTAACAAATTTGCCAAACAACATCTTCAATTCTACTTCAATATACTCATCTCTATTAGCGCTGGCAATGAGCTGATGGGTCATATCAGCCACCAGTTTCTCCACTTTCGCTACAGAATCATGCATCTACGAATGACTTAATTGTGTACCAGCTCATTAATAAAATAGCTTTTCATTATATTGAAACAAGCGAAACTAGAGACAAACATGTACCTCATGAGCACAACCTACACTATCAACCATTCTTTGTGTAATGAAAGCTTAAAATAAATTGTCGTTTTTTACGATTCTTATATATACATAAATAATCAACGGTATGATTTTACAAGCAACAAAATATTTCTAGGAATGATTTTGAAGATGCGTAAACGATTTAGAACATGGACGTCTAAAATATCTTCTAGGATTGAAGAAGTTCTGTTTCTTAAGGAAACTCTGATCTCAAGATCACAATTGCTATTAAAGCATTTCTAACCACGTTACAGTCAAAAGCGCTGTGCATAAAGTATATAAATATGCTCTCTTCATGAAATATAAAGCACATAACTCTAAAAATCGATCAATAAAGTACGAAAATACGAATAAATCAAGCATTTCGTATCGAGTTAATCAGCTTACTACCTGTAATCAGTGCGGTTGAAACAACTAATAACTTGTTTGGGAAATGAATTTGTCTGAAACAAGCTAATTCCGCTTGTGTAATACCACCAATAACGAAAATCACAGAATAGGTGCTTCTATCTATAGCTGAATAATCGTCACCCATAATAGTTGTCCAGTCTCGCCAAGCATTTCGTACACCATTTTCAATATGTCGTACAATTAGAGGCACATAACTGTTATAAGGATACGCTGTAGTCCCAAGAGTCTGTAGTAGTAACATTTGTATTAAGAGAAATATTATTACTTTTGGTAGAAAGGATATGTTCAACATAAATGCTCAACATGAAATTTAAATCAAAATTAAAGTTGATCAAGCAAGAATCACGAACTTATCCTAATAATATGAACTTGACTTAATCATGGTATTTATTAATGCACAAACAAATAGTCGATTCATTTATATCACATTCTGAGGATCAAAATGAAGTTTTATTCTATATCTTGATCTATGCAATAACTTACAGTATGTTCCTCATCGACAAAACATGACATTCGGTTGCACGCTACTTGAAAATCAAATGGAGCATATTCGCACTAAAATTTTACAAACGTATAAACATGCAAATTATGAAAAAGTTTTTTAACTTTACTTCAAGCACTAACTTTTATCTTGCTATTCTTTTCCCATAAAAGTCCCATTAACTTCAATTTTATCCATAGCGATAGATAATATGCACCATAGCTCTAAAAAGACATAAGTAACATTATTTTAACGAAAAGATTCAGTAATATGAATATGTTTAAATATTTAAATATATTCACATTACTGAATCAAAATTAAAATATTTAAAAATATATCAAAGCAGAGACAAAAAAATCTAGACTGTATACTTGGACGAAAAGTCGTTCATAGGCACTAATAGTAGCATGTTTTAAACCACCAAGCACTAAACATTGAAGTACAATAAAACGCGCAACTATCAAAGGATCATATGCTTCCACAATAAGATTTTCAATTTGAGAAATAACCCTGTCGCCATATTCTCCCAGCACTATATCTAAGATATTCAAATATTGAAAAGAGGAGTAGCGTTACATAGTAATACTACATAAGTTTAGAGATCTAAAAGCAGTTCATGAGAAATCATTTCAGGTCATGGTCCTTGAGACTATTGAAGCGTGATACCTATTGCTAATTTTGGAAATGTGGAATAGCGTGAATCATCACGAACATAATTCATTAAACATTCTGCAATCATTGTATGCGTATCTGCATGTTTCTCACTGCCCTGCATATCAAGCAACCTGCGTACAAAAACTTTGCTTTCCGCTAGTGAATCACTGGGTGGATTTTCCTTTAATCTCTAAAAGTCCCAAACTTTACACGATAAGATAAGGTTGAAACTAAAATTTTTGTGAACAAAAATGAAATGAATTTCTTTAAAACTATTTCCAAATGAATGTTTTAGGTTTCTAATTATTGTCATTTTAAAATCCGAGTATTTTCAATTCATGCTTTTATTCTGTGAAGTAAAACAGCGCTATGTAATTATTGCAAGCAATTTTCGAATAGAATAGTCTAAAACTCAACTTTTAAACTTTTGCTGAGCTTCTTACTGACGAAATTTTGAAAAGTTTTCCTTACACAACAGTGCTGATGTAAGTATTTTTGAAGATAGTTTAGACTTATTTTAGAGTTTCTAATTCGTAAGTCATACATGGTAAAAAAGTTTGAATTTTCCCAATAATTCCAACTTTTCTATTACATCACAAATAAGCTTACTGCTCGTTCCTCCCGAAGTGAGCTAAGTATTTCAGCAATTTGTTTTCCAAGATCTTTGATATGAAGATCCCGAATAGTACGAAAAAGAGGATCATGTAAAGATATTTCACTCGAAACATCACTTTTCTCATTAACGTTCCTAACTTTCGATGCCTTGATATTACCTTAAACGATGTAAACCGATAAAATATATTACAAAATAAATTAAACAGATATCTAAAAAAGGTTTCTTGTTTAGTAAGCATTAAAAGCACTCGTTTGAAGCGTGAAATTCGAGAATGCAAATAAGTAGATAATTTTTTAGTCAGACAATCATGAAATTTAGCTACTGACTGAAAATAATCAACACCACCTGTAGGACTCATATCCAGTAGTTCATCTACGAGACCAGCATATGTCAACTGAATTAGTAAGGGTGTCAGTGGATCAATCCATCTATCAATGATGATTATATCTGTTAATCGAAAACCACTATTCTCCGAGATGAACAAAGCTTCATCCTAAACTCATAGTGGTTTTAATTAGCATTTATAAGCTGAAGTAAATGAGCTGTCGCGTCAAACCTTAAGTGTAATTACTTTAAGCTTAATAAACTTGAACTCCACCTGAGTTCTCATTTTCTTTACGATCTCAACAACTTGTGCCGACCATTTCCCTTTACATCTTAAATTGGGTGAGTAGTTTCCTAACGACTCAAGCTGTCGTATTGCAGAGGCACATTTTTGTAATTCTGTCCAATCCTAAATTTCGTTGCAGTATATTTCATACTGATCCTTAATCTTAGAAGAAAAAATGCAAGTAGCTGCTAATAAATAGAAGACTTCTACACTGAATCCTTACATTATCTAGTAAAATTTTTGAGGGTGTATTATCCATAAAGAGAGTGAAAAAGTCATCGTAAAGCGGAAATATCTTCAGAGGTAGCGATTCAAGTGTTTGCAAAATTAAACTTGCTTCCCGACTTTGTTTTAAAGCATCTCGAATCATGAACGTAGTTTCGGGAACTAACAAAGCATGATGTAACCGAGAATCCTTAATGAAGTTTGCTGTGATCACAGAATCCAAACTAAATTGACAAACTGGATAAGTGATGAAAGAATCTGACTTCCAGTATGTTTTTGAAAACTCCTTGCAAAAATCTTTTATTACACTGAAAGTGATAGTATTTTGCTTTAAATGAAAATTTTCACTTCTAACAAATTAGTAATAGAGAAGGCACGGTGCAAATAGTCAGGAACTTTCAAATTAAAGTTATTTAGTTTCACAGAAAATCTGCTGTGAACTGCACGAAAAATAACCTTACATTGATAGAATGAGCATGCTTGAGACATGAAATAAGTTTATTGATCACAGACGTATTGTATGCTGATAAGATATATACAACATGACTGTGCTCTGCTTGTGGTACTCCTAGGAAAAATTCTAGCTGTAACATCGACACAACTTTATGTTGTTTTAGCTGTTCTGCTGTTGCTACCTACAAAGAGTATTATTACATATATATTTCTCGAAATATTATGGAATCATAATACTAACGGCTTCCATACATATTTCTGTGAAAAAAACAATTAATCATTGCGGCACTTGATACCTATAAAAAAGTAACATATGTTGTAAGATCTAGAAATAGTAACTGATTACAGCAAAAATTATAGTATATTTCTGAGTAAATAGAATATCTTTTTGCATATTTTCAATTTCCTTAGAACGTTTATCATGATAATTAAAAAGAAATACTTATTAATATACTCACCAGATTGAATCGTTTGATGATCGTTGGATCCCAAATAATGATTTTAGCACCATCGATAGCATCTAATGCATCGAACAGAATACTTGAGTTAGCTTCTGTTAAAACAGTAACACAGCTTCTCTTCTGAGCACTCATACCAGAAATATTCCACTTGTAACTTCAAGCATATCTGTTCAATAATTGTTAAATTTTGTTACATAGTTGACTTTGACAATTTTATGACACTCCGAAATCACATGAGGTAAACTGTCATGAATCACTCAAGACATAATATATACTTGAAAGTCACTTCATTACATCACAAAACCTCAATACTTTGCATTTACCTTTCACTTTCATAGCTATTATATTTTAAAGAAAAGGGCTGTTATAATTAACTGCCAACAAAATTCATAATATTTGAGAATCGAAATATGAATTTAAACTGAAAATTATTTGCTGAGTGATATTGCGCATATTAAATCGCCAATAATAAAATGATTACTTGGTGATCACTACAATAATTTCATGGTGAAACCACGTGAAATGGTCTGAACCACTTTGATTTTCTAATGGTTCCTTAACGTAGCTGTGTTAGGATTCTTGTGTTATTGGTTACAGCTGTTTACATATATCTCAACTACTCCTTTGTAGTGTATGCATTATGTCATTTTCAGCTATCTCACGCATGCTTATTTGATGGTATGCAAGAATAACGCTAATATTATTAAAATTCAGTACGCGATTACTAAGAAATAATAACTTCACTTTTTATATATAAGTAGAAATGAGAAGAAATGCATGATGCAAGAAATTTTGAATTAAGTGATATAACGTCAGGTTTGCGTGAAATAATGTTTGCTAAGTGAAAGAGTAACCAAAATTACAGCAGTTTTCATCTTTTTTCATAAATTCGCTCTTATTACAGTTAGTTTACCTGCTTTTGAGATACTCAATTTGATAACGAACCCAAAGCTTGCATTATAATTTGCAAGAAACAAATTTTGCGGGTAAAAAAATGCCAGGAAAGCAAGAGAGAAAAGAGAAGGTAACAGGGAAAGTGTATTGATTTATTATTAATTACGCTATGATCACTCGGTCGCGCAGATATCGATCTTTTGTAAGCTTAGTTTGTATAACAGACTTTCGTATGATTACAGTTTTGTATGATCATTAATTTTTGAAGTCAACGTTGTTTTATTTCGGACATCGCGATTTCTAGAGTTACGTATTGAAATATTTTTCTCTTACCGCATATATATGATAGTAAAGATATAATGTTTGTATACTAATTTCATTTTATAGACAAAGCTAACTCCAACTCATAACGCGTGAAAAACATGAAGAAAATTATACAGGAAAGAAATGACGCTGGCAACAACAGTGCTGAAGGTACGCAACATTCAAGAGAAGCAGAATCAGCAGTTGGGACTGAAGCTACTGTTTTGGAACATTTTCGTGGAAGAGGACGAGGAGGTTAATAATTGAATTATTGAACATTGCTGAGATTAAGAACAAAGATGTAATTAGATTGGTTATTTCAGTTATTGAAATATGTACGAAAATGGATACTTAAACTATTAATACGATGATTAAAAACATGAAATTACTACGTTAAAAAATAACTTAGACATCTTAACATTCCCAAATAAAATTTTATTGAAAGAATGTCAACATATCTTACAATTTTTTCGAATTTTATTCAATCGTATTATCAAGGAAATCGTCAGCCGGCTTTTTTCGGCCCATTTGCGGAATTCACCACACCACCACCTGCTACTTTTGATATACCACCACGTGTGTTACCTGCTCGTATGTTCAATGCTAATGTGGTACCCCTTAGAGATCGTGATTCCCATTTCAACATGCAGTTTGCTCCGTTCCTCAACCGTTGTCAGCCTAATCAAAATGACAATTCTCATCCACATCAGCATGGTAACTTTTACACAAAATTTTTGTGTGTACTATTTTTTTCCATCTATCTGTCCACTTCTAAAGTAAGAAATTAAGCACTGGAAATAGTTTTTTCTAGCGCTAGCAGGCTCTTCAAATGACAGTGCTACATCTTATCCTTCTTCATCGCAACTTCCGGCATTTAATTACAACAGGTTTAGCTTTTTGATTGTAATTTCCATTTTTTTCTTAGCAGTTTTTGAGTTTCCGATACATATTATTTCCTTTTTGTTAACATTTTAGATCTGATCACAGAACGTTTTACTGGAATTCCACTCGTCAAGAGATTCCTTTGGAGCGGCTTTCTGTTTTAAGCTTGGGCAGCATAGGTATGGTGTAATTTTATGAATATATTAAACCATTTAAAGATTCTCTCCTTTTTTACACATATTTCTCAAGTTGTGTCTATTGAACATTATTGTGATCACGTGGGTGCTTCAGCCGATCGTAAAGGTAGTGTCAGGTTCAGCCGAACAAATATATATATATGAAGTTGTAGAGAAAACAATTGTATTGCTCGGCCGAGTTGCCGAACGATTAGTTTCCAGCTGGTAGAATTGTATCATAAGGCAGGAAAGCAGGATAAAAGGAAAAAAACTGCATCTTCAAGCATATATGAAAACAATGGGAAAACAGATAAGGTTTGATTGAGCTTCATGAAGAGTGTGGAAGAGCACTTTGCCAATGTACCGGGAGCGCAGAAATATTATCTCGAAGCACTCGTCCGTGGAATGTAGGTTTTTGCAGAGCAGGTGGCCAGGAGAGATGCTGAAAGCGCCCTTTGAGAAAATGCTGAGAAAGTGGTGGCCACTGCCTCCTATATGGAGAGAAGCTCGTGATTGCAATTGAAGAAGCAAACGAATTCTGCGATCACTAATGTTGCACGTCGTCCGTGCTCACAGAAACGATTTGAAGGAGTCTACGAGGCGTATCAAGACACAATACACGTACTTCGAACAAAATATGCTACACGGGTCTAAGACTATCTAGATGTAAGGAAGAAATATCTGGTGCTGATGCTAAAAGCCTGGAGACGTGAGATAAGCTAGATAAATTGAACGCGGAAAATAATATCGGATTATATTGACTCCCTTGAACACCAGTAAACGAAGCAGTAACTGAATATGCCATACATAATCCATACAGTCAATGATTGATATTGTGAGGCAGCTTCAGGTAGTACAATAGTGCTATGGAGAGATGAAAAGGCGAGAGAAAAAGTCATCGCAGCGGAAGACAAGCGTAGAATAGAAGATAAGCTTAGATAGCTTATTCAAAATTCTTATAGAACGGTATATGGATGGTAAAATACTTGAAGGCGAAAACCTAAGGGAGGCCAAGAAGTTTGGTTAAGGAACAGCTTGTTAGACACAGTGTAGAGACAGGCGAGATCAGAGACTTCTTGGACACAATATGATACTGGGGAATGGGAAAGGATAATGATATTCAGCACAACGAATATCTGGAAGAATTTGTTCCAGATTATGAAGTAAAGGGTGTCTTCCCATCCGAAGCTGAGTTCGGAATGTTCACCGTTTTGCCCATTTTTAAAACGCCTGCCTAGATGGAGTCTATTACTTCTTCATTAATAAGTGTACCTCGTTGCATTCAGATCTTTGTAAAATAGTAAGACATTCTTTTCAGTCACAAGAATTATGTTTTAAATTGGAAAAAATTTTGTGCATCAATTTTTTTGTGACTTGCAAGTAATTCATTTATAAGTATTTTGTGAATGAGTCTTTTATTTTCATTGTGGTGCGTAATATTTCGACTTTCTGTATTTAGCTTTTCGCATACAGCTTTCCTGTCTTTGAAGCATGAATATATCATGAAATAGAATAGCGTTTGCTTGTTACTGCATGGTGTGTAATTTACAAATGTCTAAAGAGTGCAGCTGATATTTATTTGGGAAATTTTTGAAATTTTATAGGGAGTGGAATTAGTGAACAAAGTTATGGACGTCCAACGACACCTGTTTCGAATACTCATAGACAAGTGGCAGATTCGATTGTAGCAGCAAATGTTTTTGGACGGTTTAGAGATATAGGTACTTCTTTTTTACTTGTACTTTATATTTAATAAGCAGAGGAATTTCATTTGTGCTTGATACGCAAGTTTCATGAGAAAGTACCTGTACTGAAACAAATTTGAAGTGAGTAGTTTTGATTATGCATCTGAATGTTTTAACATTTCGTTCTTTGTGACTTCACAAATTTTTTTTGTACCTTCAATTGCTGACTTTTTAGTCAAAATTACAATTTTGAATATCAGTAAATCTTGCGCAACGTGCAATTAATTTAGTGGTCGTCAAAAATGCCGCCATTAGAGTGTAAAATTTTTAATTTCAGATAGTTCATCTATAAAAGCTCCAATGAAAAAAGATATTCGGAGTGAAAGAAAAGTTACAGATCGCAAGGATGATTTATCTGATACATTGACATGTTAGTTGCAATCAAAAACACGTTTTTTATAAATTGCCGCTAGTTTGCACATTCTTCTTTGACATGGTTTTTCATTCTTTGATGTATTCAAAATGCGTGACTATTTGACTTGTGTATATTAAAGTTCTCAAAAATATGTTTACTAAAGAAGCAATATATTTTGGATTTTTTAAATAGTTTTTTCTGGTTGCTACGAATCGAGAAATGATTCTGTAATTTATTTGATCAAGAACTTGAATCCATTTATTGTTTCGGATTTTGTAGGCAGGCTTAAAAAACAATTAAAAGAAGGAAATTATGAGTGCATGATCTGCTGCCAAATTATCCGCCCTACTCAGGTATTCTGTTGTACTTCACTAATATTTTTTCACCAATATTTAATGATGCTGTGTGTGATAAATTTGTTGAAGGAATATCATATTGAAATATTACCATTAACGGATAGAAAACTTTCATTTGTCGTAGTATTCTTTCATTTGAAATCGGAAAGTTTTGAATATATATTTCTCAGTAGAATGTCATGATGACTGAAAAAAGTCAGTTAATCATAAGTTGAGAGTTAGTTCATATCAGAATTTGAATGGTTCTTTAAAAAATTCAAATAGTTTTTCAGCGGATTTGGACTTGCCAAAAATGTTATCACATGTTTCATATTGGTCGTGGTAGAGCAAGTGGTTGTATAACAAAATGGGCTGCTAGAAGTTTCGTAGCGAAAGTTGGCTGGCGATGTCCGAGTTGTCAAAATGTTTCTCTTGACATTCCAAGAGATTATTATTGCTTCTGTGGTAAAGTGTTGAATCCTCCCGTGCAAAGGTATTAAAAGCTTTTTTTTTCAATTTTGTATTTGATTAGCAAATTGAGGGCTTTCCAGTTTGACAGAAATCAAATTTTTCATATTAATAAAATCCTAAATTAAGATCCTCGGTCATGCCTCATTCGTGCAATGCTGTTTGTGGAAAAAGTCGTGGTCCTGGTTGCATTCATCCATGTAATGATAAATGTCATCCAGGCCCTTGCATGGAGTGTTCATTTACATATTCGACAAAATGTGATTGTGGTGAAATGCCAATTACTGCTGAGTGTGGTAAAACGTTGAACTTCAAAGTAATTTTTTCTTGTTCTTTTGGATATCCAGTTTGATTGATGTTTATTTCCCTTTTTGTATGCAAACAATAAATAGTTTTTGTAACTCATCGAAATTAGATTTCATTTAATGTTTGTATTATTTTTTCCTCACTGATATGTTTTGAAGGTATTTAAAATGTTAGATGCAGTAAATTTTTTGATAAAGGAGTTTTATTTTTTGATGCAGGTTCAACTCGTCTTTTTTTGTAGTGCTCAAAAGTTTGTAGAAGAATGCTAAAATGTGGATTACATATGTGTGGGGTCGTTTGTCATGAAGGAGAATGTAAAGCCTGTCAGCGTATTATTGTTCGAAGTAATTTTCTGTTTCACTGATATCAAGAATAGTTTAGAATCTGAATCATTACTCACCGTAAATTAGTTTTGTATTATGTACTCTGTCGTGTAAGTATTATTACAGAATGTTATTGTGGTGACCAAGAACGCGTCCTTCCATGTACGGCGTGGAATGCAAGAACAGCCCTTTTTAGTTGTGGTGCTCCTTGCACTGGAATGTATTCATGTGGAGTGCACAAATGTGAACTCAAGTAATAGTTTCATACCTTCTTCCTTTCCTTCAAATGTTGTGTATTAAGTATTTAAAGAATAACTTAGTTTTTTTTTTTCAATGCAGATTGACAACAATAAAGAATCTATTTTTATCAGGAGATGAGTTTTCAGATGCCATGACAGAAATGGGCAAGATAACTGCGGATTATGCAGTCTCTCACCAGAGAAAAAGGAGCATTGTCCTTGTGGGCAATCGCGTATAGTGGATCTAGTGAAAAAACGAACTTCTTGCACAGATCCAATTCCAACTTGCAAAAATGTTTGCAATAAAGTTTTGACTTGCGGTCCGAAAGGTACCTCTATTTGTGATTATGTTCTTTGTTTGTAATAACTTTTTCCAAAGTTTCTACGTCTAAAATTGATTAATACAGTGTTCAATGATTTTGAAAATTTGATATTTAATAGTAAATTTTTCTACGTGCCATCTTAAACAAAATTCATTGTATTTAGTTTATGTAGATTTGTACACAATTTTACTTGACAAATATCCAATATTTGGTCCTGGTTTTTTCAGATATATCTACATTTTTTAGTTTTTTTGAGCGAACCATTAAGGAAGGTCGTTTTCAGCGTCATTTGGAAAAATTCTGATGTTTAACATTTTGAAAATTATTCTGAAAGTAAAACTAAGAAATAAAATAATTGAAATTTTTCATTATTTTAGATCAACCTCATCGATGTGCACAACTCTGTCATGTGGGTCCTTGCCCGCCATGCTCTTTGAATAGCTCTATAACTTGCAGATGTACATCTCTAAAAACAAGCATTCCATGTCAAGAATTTGTTTTGTATTCTGGTGAGAATTTTTTATTTCAATATATGCATGCGGATGAATCTTCAACGGAGTTGATCTTGTTGCTAGTTCGAAGTCAGTGAAATTAAAATGTAATTTGGTGGCTTGATCAATTATTTATAAAATTTGTGAATTTTGGGTTATATTTGGTAAATTCATTGAATTTTTGGCAAAAGCAATTATTTTTCCATCAATAATTCTTTCGGCACAATATGATTGGTAAATTGCTTTCAAGTAGCAGGAATAGGAAAAGCAAATGTTGCCGAGCATTTTCATTATTAACTGATTTCCAATGAAATTTCTAGCATTGTAATATTCTATAGACATTTCTCAGATGAAAATCCATATCTTTGTGAACGGCGATGTAAGAAAATGAAATCCTGTCAAAATCATCGTTGCCAGACTGTTTGCTGCATTGATCAGGAACATTTCTGTATGCAGGTAATCTTTATCTTTCTCTGTAATTGACGTTTTTAATTTTCATAAAATTCCCTGTGCATATTTTTCAGATTTGCGGCAAGAAATTAAGGTGTGGAAATCACAAGTGTGATAGAATATGTCATGTAGGCCAATGTCCGCAGTGTTTGCAAGCAAGTAAGTTAAGTTTTTACTTTTCACATGTTTTTCATCTTTCGATTTTTTGTTGACGTGCACATGAAAACTGTCTTTATCACATGTTATTCCGTTTTGTGGGAAATATAGAATATCTATTCTAAATATTTCAGTTGTGTTTCTTGACATATTCTATTGTCAATCTACTTGCACCTTGTTGTTATTTTACAGGTTTCGAAGAGCAATTTTGTTTATGTAGACGCACTGTTCGCCAGCCACCTATTCCTTGCGGTGCAGCATTACCACCTTGCAGTTATCCTTGCTCACGACAGCATCCTTGCAACCATCCGCCCATGCATACTTGTCATGTTGAACCAAAATGTCCACCTTGCACTGTACTTACTCAGAAGCCGTGTTATGGTGGACATGAGGTTTTTCAGATTTGTTCTTCCTTTAAAAGTATCTAATCACTTATATTTTCAATGGTTCCTATGGTTTTATCTTCAATCTGTGATTTAGCAGTATAGAAATCAGGGAAAATCTAAACTTTTTCATCACTTCCAAACTCAAAAGATTATAAAGGAGAAACTTTACTGGAAAACATGAAAATTTTTAGAATCTTTGCTTAAAACAAAGATAATAAACTTTCTGATAATATTAGATTGGAGAACTGGTGACGTAGACTTGTGTATACTAATGGCAGAATAATAAATTATTACTGAACATATGGCAGAATTAAACTTTGCTAATGCCCAATAACACATTAACTATCTAAAATCTTAGTTCGGTAGTTCGTTTTCCCTTTTTAAAGATTTCTATTCAGATTCTGGCTGCATTTTTAGACTTTTGAACTTTATATTTATTTTGTCGTGAATAAAGATTTGTTTTATTTCAGATCCGTTCAAACATCCCATGTTATTTAAATAATGTTTCATGCGGACGACCATGTGGTAAGGAATTACCATGTGGCGTGCATCAATGCAAACGGATTTGTCATGCACAATCGTGTTTGGTCAGTGGTACTTTATGTCAACAGATGTGTACTAAAAGGAGAGTTGGACAAGCATGTGATCATATTTGTGGTTCTCCCTGTCATGGCAAAGCTCCTTGTCCTAAAAGTTAAGCTTCTTTAAAATTTGCTTATTTTGTCAGATTTTGAGATTTAGAAAACCACAATGTCGTTCTCATCATGATTAGAATTAGAAAACCATAATATTATTCTCATCAACTTAGCTTGTCAGAGTAATCTTGACCGTGACAAAACGCATACTAATAATGCCTTCAGTTAATTTTATTGGTATTACCTAATGTATTTAACTAACATTAACCTTTAATTTTAGTATATGTACAGCAATAGTCATTGTCACCTGTCCATGCTTTCGTAAGTCGGAAAACAAACCTTGTTATGACGTTGAAAAGGCGCTGATAAAGGCTTTGTCTCTCAAAGTAGAAGAGAGATGTTGGGACAGATCTGTTACTTATGAAGAAAAAGAACTGCATAAAAGTCCAAGTATCGATAAATATTGCTGGTAACAGATTTTTTTGATGCAGTATTCGAATATAATGTATAGTTGGATTTGTTACCCTCATATAATTCATAAAAAACGCGCCCTTGTGATGATCAAATTTGAGAGATTTGATATAAGCTTAACAGTCTTGATCGGTTTTCGATTTTCTCAATTTTTCTTCAATATGATAATAATTAAAACTGCATTTTTTGAAAATCGCACAAGTGTTAATAAGGCTCAGGGATGTTCACTCTTCATTGACCTTAGATCATAAATTTTATAATTTTTTAGCCTCTCCTGTGATGACGAGTGCAAGCGAATTATAAGAAATAAAAAACTGGAAATGGCGCTAAATATTTCGACTACATCAACCATTACATATAGTAGTTTTCTGAAAAATGAAGCAAAGTTGAATTGCAAAGAGGTCTTAGAAATCGAACATGTATTAATTAAGCTTATCAATGATTTAAATGCGGTAAGTGTTATGTTTATAAGTTGTCGGACTTATTTTTCATGCATTATACATTTTGAATACTTGATAGACCTCATAATTGAATTTTTAGAAAAAATTCTTGACATTATGTTCTAAATGTGTTTCATACTGTGAGCTCTATTTTTTAAATAGATCATAAATTAGCAGGTCGCTGTAACTTCTGGTTATAAGATATTTCAGAATAGTTCATTTGTATTTCGAAAATTATAAGTCTTTGTACATATTGAGTGATTTATAGTAAAGGCTGCGGAACAGCATATATTTAAAGTTCCTTTATGATATTTCAGTCGAATGAGTTCAGTACTATTATTTTGTATGCATGATTTATCTTCCAAGAATGAAAAAAGAAAAATCTTTTTTTTACAGCAGCAAAATGCAGTATCAGTCAGTCATGCGTTTAGACCTATGAATTCAGAATTACGTCGCGTAGTTCATGAATATTGCAGATATTTTAAAATCGAAACTTTAAGTCAGGGTCAAGATCCTCGAAGAAATGTAATAGCCACTGCAAAACGGTAATTTTTTCTGCTTACCATATCATGGTTAATAGTATTTTGTTTCTCATAGTAAAGATGGAATTGGTGGGAAATGAATTTTCTTTAAAGTTTTTTAAAATTAAAATTCTTCAGCAGATTTCAAAAATTTTTTGATTTGCATGTATTTAGTTTATTCACATTTGTTTTAAATGAGATTAAATCAAAGATAAATTCATTTCATTGAGAAAAAAGCTGATAGAATTGACCATAAAACAGATAGAATTCGTATTTTATGGTAATCAAATTTTTTTATACTAAGGGTTTTTATTTATGTAGTGTGTTCGAGCAAAATTTAAGTTCTTTCTAACTTGTTTTTCCCGGCGAAGCAACACATATAGTGAATCCTTTGTTTTATTGTAGAAGAAGCTGCGTTAGAAACATTTTTTTTTAGAAATGTAAGTGAAATGCCAGTTGTACTTCTCATGTCAGCTACTGAACAAACACTCGCATCTAGGTACGGTTTTTTTTAAATCAAAGTTGTGTCAAGTTAAGAACTCCATAAACTAAGATTGCTGTTAAGTGCCTTCCATATATGCAAAAAAGTACAACACTTTTTCTATACATATGATATAGCTTTGATACCATTGCTTATCAATTGTCTGATTTCTATCAATTTTGTCTCTATCAGTTCATGCACACTTAACGATACTTTATACTGCTTTTGCATTCCAGTCCATTTTTTGTTTAAAATCTTATCAAATTTCGGAGAAGTAAAGTTGTGATGCAAGTTAAGTAACACTGTCTCATTTCATTATTTATATATTTTAAGATTGAATATGAAACATTGAAAGGATAATTTTCAGGACAAAAACTGTAGTGGCTACAACTTCGAAAGAAATTCCTCCAGATTCAAAGGATTCGTCATGTACTGGTGAAAGTTAAATGCTACGGTCAGTGGGTTCTGTGCCACAGCGAAGTAATAAAGAGACATCATCCGCTACAATGAAATAAAATTTAACTTTTTCTGTCGTGTTTTTTATAAGAGTTCATTCATATTCTCTTTCATTTTATTATTTTTCATCTAATTTCTACTATAATTGTATGCAATCATATTTATTTCTATTCATTCCTTTGCATTCGTTTTTATGAGAAGTCCCCAGAAACTAGGATCATGCAGACTTTCTTACTGGGGTTTTTATCAAGTTAACATCGTCTTTATCAATATCAAGTATTATTTGCTTGAATATAAGATTAGCTCATAGTTGCTGAAAATAACAGAATATGTGTAATCAAGTGTTCTTCTTGTTTAAGGAGTTTTTTTTAAAATAAATGGAGCTGCTTTAGGTAAAAAGATATTTTGTGCAGCGTATGATGAAGTGAACTTTTATTCCGCTACTGTTTTCTATTTCTCACATCATTTGTAGTGATTGATTTTTTTTCATGTAGAAAATAGGAACTTTCTTGGTATTTCAAATTTGTCCATAAAATTCAATATTTACGGTGATTTCTGCAAACATTAATTTAAATTCGTTTTATTAAAAAAATGACATAACTTCAAATGGTACAACCAAAAGTCATTCAAACAATTTTTTGCAACTACTGAAGATTTTTATTAAAGCTTAATTTTTTTCATGCTGGCGATAATAAAATTTTCTTAGTTCACTTGAGTACTAGATTATTTCAGATGACCACAGTAATAAAATCAAGTTGTTTTAATGCAACTTTCCAAATATTGGTTGATGCATACTTCGGTTGCACATGCTACTTTTTTGTCTTGTTATCGAAAAAATTTGGTCTCGTGTATGAGAATATTTACTTTCAGTCAACAAATTTGTAATACAAAAAATGTCAAGAGGAGCAATTGAAGTGAATGGAGAATGGTTGCTGTCATTTCGTGATGAGCAGCAAAAATTAGATAATGAAAATGATGGTTGGTTTTCTGACTAGTAGAGTGTACTATCTATGATGTGCGGAGTTGAGAGGCATGTGTAGGAGGAATTCTTGATTCACAGCAATTTAAGATAATTATCTGTATGTATTGGGAAGGTGTAAAATTATTTCAGCTAAGGAAATAGTGCAAGCTATAGAAAATGCTGATGTGGTTGAAGTCCTAGATTTACGCGGTAATACAGTTGGCGTAAGAGCAGGAGAACGACTTGCATGTGCTCTAAAAAGTCATCCTGAGTTAAAGGTTATGGTTATATGAAATGTATTTATGAAATGAGAATAGTTTGTGGCTAGTGTTTTGCTTTTTTTTCAATTTGTTGTTTCGTTTGAAAAGAAAATTTGAGAAATGGTCAATTTTAAGCCCTTCACATTTCAAGATGTCTGAAAAAGCTCAAAGAATTAGTCTCTTCAGTGTTGTTAGTAGCAGTTTCTATTTACAGGATTATATTTATGATTTTTAACTAGAAATAATGAATTTGTCCGCAAGCAATAGAGACTGGAATAGCAAATTTTTTTTGATTTTAATTCTGTACAGTGAATGTAATCAGATGACAACATTCATTTAAAAGTTTTTTTAACAACCCTCATGCTTGAATAAACCATTTCCAGCGAGCATTATGGAGTGATATGTTTACTGGACGAATGAAAGAAGAAATTCCTCCAGTTTTAGTAAGAATTTTATGGCTAATAATTATGGTCTTCTAAATCGTAGAATTTCCAAAAATTATGGGTTTATAAAATTTTATCACTAACTTTGGTATTTCAGAATTAATAATATTATTACAGTTTCATCTGAGCTTCTGCTGATTTTGAAAAAAAAAATGATGAAGATGCTCAGTGTGTTGATCTATCTTATTTAAACATCTACTTTGCTGATCTTCTTAAATTTAGTATGCAGTATCATCATTACTTTAGGTTGCATTTTGTGAGAGTCATGATTTATATTTAAGATATATGTTCAGAAGGTCATATTTTTAGCGTTCTCTTTGTACAGCAATGATGAGTTGTGGTACGCGTTTGGTGGAATTGGATCTATCCGATAATGCATTTGGTCCTATTGGTGCAGAAGGAATTGAAAAATTCCTTGAAAGCACATCTGCTTATTCATTAGAAGTATTGAAACTGAATAACAATGGTCTGGGTGCTGGTGGTATAGTAAGCCAATTTCTAAATTTTTATACCTACTTTAAATCCAGTTTTAGTCATTGTAAAACTTGCAAGTATTGAAACTGAATAACAATGGTCTGGGTGCTGGTGGTATAGTAAGCCAATTTCTAAATTTTTATACCTACTTTAAATCCAGTTTTAGTCATTGTAAAACTTGCAAGTCAAGAGCTAGTTTAATGAATAGATTTTGAGTAATATTTTAATGTTTCACAATATTATTTTTAAGAATTTTTTTTACGTATACTTGTGAGATTTACCAAAAAATTCTAGGTCATTGCTAATGCATTGATAAACTGTTATAAAAATGCTAGAAAAGACGAACAAAATTTTCGTCTAAAGACATTTATTGCTGGCAGGAATCGTTTGGAAGACCCTGGAGCTTTTGCCTTAGCAAATGCTTTTCAAGTAATGTTTTTTGAGTTTTTCGTTATTGAGGCAGTAAAATTGTATCTCCCAAAAGGTTTGGAAGTTCGACCAAATATCGTTATAGTTCTCGATTATTTCATGGCGTGGGTATTGTATTCTGCTTTCATAATTTGTGCTTCTGCAATATAAAGATGGATGATCTTTTGGTTTAGGTTTTGGGTTCCTTGGAAGAGGTAGCGATGTATCAAGATGGTATCAGGCCTAAAGGAATCGAAGCTCTTGCAAAATCATTTTATCATAATCCTAATTTGAAAATAATTAATCTCAGTGATAATACGTTTACTGTCAGTGGAGCCTGCGCTATTGCACAGGTAGAGCGTTTACTTTATTTCAGTATTTAAAATTATTGTTAGATTTTGGTCATGGATTCTTGGTATTAAAGCTCATCACTGATTCAGATTTTGAATAGTAAAAATTCAACATTGCATGAATTTAACTATGTGTTTCTTTTTGGTATTTGTATTCATATGATTATTCAGAGCACTTGGAAAATATTTTACAGGTGGTTAGAAGTTTGACGAAACTAGAAGTTTTGGACTTTGGAGACTGTTTATGTCGAGATAAAGGTGCTTTAGCTATAATTACTAATATTGCACCATCACATCATTTACATTTAAAGGTTTGCTTGAAATGGAGATTCATCAAAGAAATGAGATTCATAACATTTAATTCTAAAGACACGTAAGATTATTGAAGTCTATGTCCTATTCTGTTAATATGCTACCAGTCGTAGGGAAATTGATTAAGGATGCGAAATTATCTCTAAAACAGCACAGAAGCAGTTATACTTATTACTAAAACAAAAAATGAACTTCATTTTTTGGTCGCAACTACATTTACTTATATTACATTACAAAACTCGGATATCTGGCAGGAAATTAATTTGTCTGGAAATGAACTGAGTCCTCGTGTGATCAAAGCAGTTCTTGCTAAAGTCAATCAAGGTTTCTGTTTAAATTCCCTCGTTTTGCATACAAACAATATGGGAAGTCAATTTGACTATGTTCGTTCAAAATGTCAAAAATATAATTTCATCGATTTAGGCAAAGAAAGGTTTGCATTTTCATACAAATTAAATGGACCTTTGAAATCATATTTTTCATATTTCACAGCCATCACTATTGCTATCAGAACATTGTTTTTTACATTTTTTGAATTAGAAATGGTTTTTAATGCATCATGAAATGGATGTGCTTTTTATCACGTCTTTACCCTAACTAATCGCATGTTATTGTTCATTATCATAAATAAATGATTTCTGTATGGCACTAACCTGAAGCATTGGCATTTACAGTGATGATCAAGGAACTCTAGATGAAGATGAAGATAGTAGTGTTGAATATGGAGAGTTGTATTCGGGAAAAAGTGATTTCGAAAATTCAAGCAATGAAAATGATGAAGAAACAAAAAATTTTGTAGAAACCGACCTTGGTACTGCATTTATTTTTATTTATTTCATTTAGCTTTTGCTTCATAAAAATTTTGATGATATAAACATTTTTTGATGTTATTGATATTGAGATACGAATTGATTTTCAAAAAAATTGGTAATTCAGGTATCAAACTGGATAGCATTTTGAAGTTTGATAGTACCGAAAGTACAATTTCATTTAGAAATCAAAAGTGGAACACCGAGGGAAGTGGTAACTTCACTTTTTTCAATTGGAAAGTTTCCCTTAAATAATCTTTTAAACAAATTTTTTCTTCTACTAAATTGATCACTTTAGCCTGGAAAATATGAAATTTTCCAGCAAAAAATTTGTGGCATTTGCATTTGCTCATTTCACATACATTTTACTCATTATTTTTGAACTTCAGAGTTTAAGTTACATTATTTACAGCTGAAAGTGTCATTCAACTATTATTATCTCGACAGCTTGTAAAAGTTTTGGATTTGGAAGATAATAACATTGGTGATGGAGTATGCAGAAAAATTGCTGAGGCTTTACGAGAACGCAGTCAGAGAGTAAGTTTATCATTATAAAACTTTAATAACTAGATACAGCATATGTTAATCAGTATTTTAATTAAAAGCATTTGATGTTTTTATTTCCCTAGTGCAAGAAAATTAATTTCTGTCGAAACATTTGGCAGTATTTGCGTAGAATTTAGTCGAGTTGTGCGTTGTAAGGAAAATTCTATATACCTGCATGTAGACGTTTAAAATATTGTTTATGATAACGAAAGATTCACCATTTGCATTTCTTGAAGTGCATGGATAGCTTGGAAGAATTGAATTTGAGTCGAAATAATATCACTGCTGTTGGTATTAGTAATCTCGCTGATTCATTCAAAATGAATCCACTTTTGAAAGTGATTATTCTGAGTGGAAACATTCTGAAAGTTGAGGGTGCAGTTGCTGTGGCCAAAGTATGTGGATAATTGTTTTGTTTTTTTTGGTGTAAGATATCGCATAGTAAAAAGATAAAGCTGAATTTAGAAAGATATGTGGTTTTATATATATATCCACAAAACTTAATTTATCTTCTTATTATTCATTGAAATATCAGGATTTTTCGAAGACTATTTAGAATATTCATTTCCACTGTCTTTTGCTACTTTAGGCACTTCCTTCTTTACATTTACTGGAAGTCTTGGACTTGAGTTCATGTGCTTGTCAAGAGCATGGAATTATGACAGTTGTGGCAAATTTGAGTTCTTCAGTACATCTGCGCTTAAAGGTAGTTTGCATTTGCTGTCAAAATGATATCTTACGGAAATTGGTGGCAGATACTTTAGTTTTCATTTTATATGGAAAACTCTTTAGAACCGATGCAAACAAAAAAATAATTCATTCGTTTCATTGTAGAAATCTTAGATTAATTCAAAGTGAATCACAAGATTTCTTGTAAAAAATAAAATGGTCTTTTTAAATATAATTGTTTTAAGTATTACATTATTAGTTGCTATAAAATGCACTGTCTTACTCTTGCAGACTTTAGATTTTTCTTCAAATGGTTTGGGTGCTGATATTATTAAAAAAATTGTGTGTGTTTTCTCAAGTAGTGGCTTTCATCTAGAACGTCTTTCATTACATTCCAATAATATTGGAAATCAGTTTAATGAACTGAAAGATGCCTTTTCTACTATTCGTTTTCTGGATTTGGGAAGTGAGAGGTGAATTTATGAAAATGAAGAATAAATAATGTAGCTGGAATAAAAGATGAAATTTATTTAACTTTATTGTAATTTATGAATTCATCATTTCTTTGATCCTATTTTGGAGTAATTTTTATAGCAAAGTGTTCGAAGGAAGATCTTTGTAATTTTTTTACGTTTAGGTCTTCATCTTACACGATTTTTACAGCATTTTTTATAGGTCTGGTCAAGGCATTTTAGTAAAACAGGAAATAACACTGAGTCAAGCAGAGCATGAATCAGTGAATGGAGAAGACATCAAAGATCATGAACTTGATAATTCTACACTCACTATGGTCATTTTTAGATATTTTAAATGATTTAATTAAATTATTAGAACTATTGGAATTATATTTTTATTTTATTTTATTTTTTTATTTTGGCATTAATTCTGTAAATTTCAGTCATACATCTCATGAATAATTTCTTTTTTTTGACGTTCTGATCCTTTATCTTTTTCCCTAGTTCATTATTTCAAATTTTTCACTCGTTTTAGGAGAATATTGTTCTGTTTTCAAAAAAACCCACTGCTACCATGCTGAAAGTTCTATTTTCGAATGTGAGGAAAGTAGTGAAATTGCTACATGTTTGTCCTTTTATGACTTCCCATTTAATTAATCACGATTCTATTTCGTTGTCGTTATATGATCTACACATATTTAAAATAATATATCCTATACTTAATTTTTTACTGAAGCTTTAGTGGTCCCTTTCAAATTTTCATTTCTGCAGCTTTAACTGTTTGTGTGTAGGGACCACACTGCTTACCATTATAGATAGTCATGTTGTATAAATCTTTTATAGACTGATCTGCATGGGAGAACACAGGAAATTACAGCAGCATTACTGTGTTCTTTCTGTTCATTACTTTCTACCGAAAATTCAGAAAAATTAGAGCTAGAACAGAAAGTAATAACGCTGGCTGGTTCGTTTCTTAAATAACACACTTTTAATTATAAAAAGTCCAGACATAATCATCATCATGGTTTTGATATATGTGGTTTTCTTTTTTTTTCTTATTTTCATTCTATTACTTTACTATTAATTGAGATTGCTGAATTATGTTCCGTTGTATTTTTTTTAATAGAAAAATCACAACTTTTTATAGGCAAAGAGTAGATACTGCAATTTTGTCAAATGTGTAGTTATCGGAAGTTGATATCATTTCTTTGATCATCTCTTTGGTTTAAAAAACTGAAATAAAATTAGAAATAAATCAGAAATAGTAATTTATGTGATGAGTGACGGAAGGTTTCAAGTAAAAATAGGCTCAGCACATTTTAAATGGGATAGAACTATCCTTATAGTTTTCTTGTGTAAACTTGATGAATATCTAATTTTTTCCGCATTTAAATGATTACTTTCTACTTGTTCAAAATGTGAAGCATTTATTTATAGATGCAATATTGATAGAAGCTAAGAAAGTTAAACGTACGCCAATCAGTGCTGTAGAATCGATATGTAATCAGCTTTTAGCGTTTGCGGGTGCTGTCCAGGTTGGTTTTTTATCAGCATATTGATTTGACATAATGGATAATATATAATATGGAGCCAGTCTGTTTATACGCTCTTACTGCTCTGAAATAATACTATATTAATTCATAATAAATTCATCAAATATGAAACTTCTGGGCTGAATGGAATTTAATGTTTGCTGTGATTAACGAAGGTATTTTCTAATAATAAATTGTTTAGTATTATACTTTTTTTTGCAGTTTTTACGCATAATTTTTCTCTGCTTTCAGTCTGAAGCTTTATCTCAAGATAAAATTGATATATGTGGTGTTATCATCTTGATCCGTGCAATGCTTCAGCGTGGACATTTTCGGGATTTGCTCTCAACTATTTTATTTTCATTGTAAGTTATTGTGGATCAACTGTAGATGAATACTGATCCCATATTGAAACAAAAATATTTAAATTCATATCAAAAATTTTATTCCTTAATTTTTGTATTTTCTAGCATATCAAGTTCTGCTTCCACTTTCTTTTAAAGGTGAAGATTTGTTTTTCACTCAGCACCCAGTTTGTGCCTTTCCATATTCATTTAACGAATTTTATGTAGTTAACAAATAATGTTGAATCTGTTTGCAATATGTGATGTGATTTTAGTGATGCACTTAAACAAATACATCCCAATCGACGTGCAGAAATTGATCAACTCATGCAGGGATTAAATTTTATTCATCATTAGTCTTCTCTATTTCATCATTTCATTAGCAGTAACTAATAATCTCAATGCAAGAATTCGAGTTTCAGTATTTGATTTTCATTTAATTTACGAATTTGAGCTCGTAAAAGAAATATATGGAACTGAGTCTTTGAAAAATTTTTTGCACATTCCGAAAATCACACATAAAACGTTATCATCTTAACTATAAATTATTTAATAATTATTTTAATTATACGACATGTTTTGAAAAAGGTTTGTTGTTTGAATTAATTTCCAGCAGTGAAACTTTAATTCCAATCTTTGTTAAAATGACGGTCATATTGTTGAAGCATTTTCAAAGAATTCTGCTCCCGCAACTGATCTCAAGTTTTGTTTGGTTTTAATCACCTAATGATTAAGTTTGCTGTCTAAGCTTATTGCAGTTATCAGTTATTTCGGCTTTTGTTCCACTTCCAGCCCTGTATGTGCCTGTTATGTTTTCCACAATTTCAAACGTCTGTTTGCAATTTTCAATGTCGATTGATTATGTACTAAATGCTTGAACTTGATAGTTTGTAAGATGCAAATTCCCCTTTGCTGTTCACTTTCTTTGTTTTGATTTTTTTGTTGGAAATTAAATAAAGAGTGAATAAAATTACAGTTCGGGAAAATGAAATATCTTTGATTTTGAAATTTACACGCATTAAAATCAATTAGTGGAATGAGCCAAAGAAAAAGAAAGAATCGGGGATTAGTTGCTGCTTGTTTCTTGCTAGATAGATGTAAGTACAACACTTGCACACATTCTGACAGTTATGGGATGGAATGTCGTTATTTATGCTGCATAGCTTGCAGACTACATCCCGTTTTATTGAAAATGACAGGTTAGATTCGTAGTCTAACTAGTCAGCTATTGATCGAGACAGTTTGTATTATATTGGTTGCACATTCAGTAGCTGAACTTCAATGTTGTTAAGACTTTATAGTTCGGTCTGCAGCCAGTTTATGCCTGGAAACTGCAGTGTAATGAGTATGTAGCTTATTTTATTGTTCGTTGCATAATGTAACAAGGATTTCACAATGCACGGTCGAAAATTCCACATAATTTTTTTGGAAAGCAATTGGTGCGAACTTTTTCGTAACATTATGAGTGTGGACGAATTTTGCTTATTGTTCGTTGAAAGCCTAAAAGCTCGAGTAGTGTAGTTGAGTAGAGATGTGATGGAGAAGAGTGTAGGATATGTGTATACAGTTATTGGCAGTTAGTCTTGTAGCGTATTGGAATCATAGCAACTGGCATTATCAAAAGTATTATTAGATTGTTAGGAAAATTGTCGTTGGATTATTTTGTATCTGTCTGTTAATGGCAAACAGTCTCTATACAAAATGATCGTGAAGGAATAAGTGATTTTAATTGATATTTTTCTTTTCAATTGTTGGATTAGTTGCTTAGAATGATAACCTTTGATACTAGAAGTGTAGGATGAAGCAGAAAAAAGTGGAGTTTAATCATTTAATGTTTTAAGCTTTAATTTGTTGTTTACATCAGTTTTCTTTCGTGCGTAACACAAAAGTTTTTTGCACAATCTTTTTCATGATTTCGATTTTAATGATTTAAAGCGAAATAAATACAAATTGGTTCTGCTTTGTAATAATTTATTACTCTGAGATGTGATCTGTGAGTATTTACTAACAGCTAATTCGTGTTTATTTTTTCTTCGGAAAAGAAGCTTTGCTTTATTTTGGAAGCACTTGAATAACAATTCAGGTATTTCAAAATACGATGGCATCAAGGATTTTAACAAGTGTCGGTGTTTCGGCTTCGCGCTTGTTGTGTAATCCCAAAACTTGGAAAGATGTCGTTACTCGAACATGGTCTGCTTCATCAGGTACTTCTAGTTGAACTAATTTTTCGTGAAAAAAAAAGAATATTTCTGATGTTTATCCATTTCATTTGTTATAAAATAGCAAATAGAAAGTCCGTGTGAGATAGTTGCGTGCTGGACTTTGTATCTTCTTAGTTTATAGATTAAGAACTTTCATATTTGAGTTAGAAAGCTAGAAAATCACATCTGTTAGGCTTTTTTTTTAAATCTAGCACTGATATTTTCACTTCAGCTTCAAATCTCGGCATTGTCAAGTATCAACATATAACTGTGCAACTGTACAAACCAATTTGGATCCTAAAAGTTCTATCTGTGATTAATTACTGCATACAACTTTTCTTACTATTGTTTAAAGCTAACATTGTTTTTGCCGCAGTAGTATTTTTCTGACATTTTGCTAATTTCAGTTGCTATACAAAAAAGTGATTTTAATTCGATCAGTTGTCAGATGAAATTGCACACTTCTACAGCATTGCCCGCACTCGACACTGCCAAAAAGGTGTACATTAGTTTCAGAAATGATGCTCATCAATTATAGGAAATATAAGCTGTAGTTCAATATCGATATTTCTGCGGTAAATTATTTATTCGAGAATTAAACCAGTGTTTTCAGGCGTCACCTCCTCCCACGTCTGTAAAGCCTACAGTGAAAGGTTCAAAAGGACGAATTGTCGCAGTAATTGGTGCTGTGGTAGATGTGCAGTTTGATGAAGGATTGCCTCCAATTCTTAATGGACTTGAAGTCTCTGGCAGGAAACCGCGTCTTATTTTAGAAGTGTCGCAGCATCTCGGTAAGTAGAAGTTTGCTAAAAATACTTTGACTTGTATTGCTCACATTTCAGCTGACTTATTGTGGCTTTATTTGGTAAAGAGTTGCACTTTCACAAATTCAAAGACAGGTTTGAGTGGCCTATCATGGTATATTTCAAAGTCATTCGTTGAAATATTCCGTAATAACCCACTCAAACGAATGGATTATGAACGTTATTGAAGAGCTTATTAATGAGTGATTTATCATGAAATAACGAATAACATATATTTTCTATGATAAGTCATTCGTTTGTGTTTGTATGAAGTGGAATACTCATAGTTGATACTTAAGTGGATTGTGTATCGATTATTTTTAGGTGACAATGTAGTGCGAACAATTGCTATGGATGGCACTGAAGGACTTGTTCGAGGCGATGAAGTGGTTGACACCGGTGATCCTATTAAAATCCCAGTAGGACCAGAAACTCTGGGTCGGATTATGAACGTTATTGGAGAGCCTATTGATGAACGAGGTCCTATTAATGCAAAGCATTTTTCTCCGATCCATGCTGAAGCACCAAAATTTGTTGACATGAGCGTGGAGCAGGAAATCCTTGTAACTGGAATCAAAGTGGTCGATTTGTTAGCACCATATGCAAAGGGTGGTAAAATTGGTGAGTAATGATTTATACTAACGTAGTGCTAGATTTTATATATTCAACTTTTATTCACTTACAGTGAAAAGTGTTTCCTATTTCATTAATTAATATTTTTGCTACAACAACATGAGGTTTTTTTTTGTTTGTTAATTTTGATTGAAAAAAATTTAATTTTCATAAAGAAATTAAGGCTGATAGCGAAAAATAAACGGAATAGTTGTATGGTACTGTTTGCTTGAATAGTCTGAAATCTAGTATCATTCAGACACGTGAGAGAGTTTTTGCTTATTCGAAGCTGTATGGTTCCTTTTCGAATCCTACAGTCAAAATAAGCATAAATTATTATTGTGAAATCCTTGTAGAATTTTCATGCTCGCTTTATATGACAGCATTATTACATGGAGTTTCTCACACGAATTTTATACCATGCTGTTTGTTTGTTTGTTTGTTTTTTTTTTTTTTTT